AAAAAAAAAAAGCAGACTAAAAAAAATGTTTGATACTTAATAAAACTTTTATTACAATATATGTATCAAGAACAAAATCTGTCAGGTACAAACAGCACAAAGGAATGTCAGGACTCACATCTCGGCTGGTGAGGGGATCGTTGGCTACACTGACCTCATCAGGTCGCCTTTAAACTCTGCGGTCGCTAAAACCACAAAGCGTTCAGCAGTAGGGACAGGTAGAAGTTTCAACTTCTTAAATCTCACTGTACCAATAAACTCGCTCACTGCTCCTGTCACATGACTTCACTTTACACCGAGGACGACACACGTGAAGGACTAAATGCATTTAGTTAGGTGAAAGCACCAAAGAGGCCTCGCGCCTCATTTCTCTGGCGTATGGGGAAGACTATAAAAGGTTATGGATCACAGTTTAATTCATATCAAAAGGAGCTTAACCACACTCGAAGGCAGTTGAACATACTGACACCGATCTGAGAAAAGCACAAATGGATGAAACACTGCCCTAAAATTTATCATAACTTTTTTATGGGTTGAGAATCGCATGCACATGAGCGGGTTAACATCAATACTGAGCAGGACAGGTCCCATTTAATGGCAAGCATGTATGGTGAACTCATAAATTGTTAAATAATGATTTCTCCTGACAGGAATAACATTGACACAGTCATGTAACAATGGAATAAAAGAGGTTTTTCAGCTACGTCTGCTACTACAGTTATCTCTCTCTCTCAATGACACTCATGTGTTAGCATGTGCTCCGACAGACGCTTCAGCACTAAAGTCTTCGCATAGAAGCAGCAATACTTTGGTTTTCTGAACAGCAAACAAAAGGAAAAAAATTAACTATCTCCCAATATAAAATATGCAAGCATTTTAAAATATTGGTCATATGACTTCATTTCAGTAAACGATTTCTTCTAAAGTGGTACAATTTTTAAAAAAAAGAAAAAAGAAAAAATGGAACCGTGAGTGAATATATAAATGTAACACTGTTGAATATACTTTACTGTATGCATTTAAAAAAAATGACTCCAGATCCCATGTGGAGCTGAAATTACAAAAATAATAATAATAAAATAGTGGCAAGCAAGAGGAGTCATGACCAGGCAGCTTTACACCTTTTCCATCTCTCTGGTCAAACTCGAGCAGTGGCTCAAATATCTAATCCGGAAAAAAAAGAAAAGTAAGAATATTAATATTTGGACATCTGAAGAAATCTAGCACGCTGTAAAATAACTGATCATGCGTCTGCAGCAGAATCGGCCTCGGGTCTCCCCACAGCCTCTTACCATCAGTTTCACACATGTTGGCCTTCTCCCTCTCCGTCTCCTTGTTTCTGCATCTGGGCCTGCATCTTGGCAATCATCTCCTGCATTCGCCTCAGCTGAATGACACAGAACATCAAAAGGTGTGAATCAGGACACTCTCATGGCTGCGACTTTGAAGCGACATAAGGCATTTTGGGGTTTTTTTCTATAGAGTCTATCATATAATATTGTTTGTTGTTTCTGCAAGGTTGTCTACTTATTTGTTTTATACTGGACCTTGGTGCACACCCTCACTCCATCCCCTGTCTGAAATATGCCGTTTCATCTCCTCTCCCTTTAAAACCTGCCTCCTTGTTTGCAACAGTCAACAACAGTCTGACTGGCTGCCCGTCGCAAACACAAGCAATAAATGTGCCTTATCTTTATCTTGGGCCGAAAACTTTCTTTAGGAAACCTAAACAACACATTTCTTTGAAAACAACGCTTGTAGTCTAAAATATCTCACCTCAGCCTCCTTCTCCTGCAGGATCATATCCTTGTCCATTTCCTCCGGCTCGGGTCCCTTTCTGCTTTACAGACACAACTATAGTTACTGCAATGCTGTGCGCTGCAAAGATCAGTGACTTAATTATGCAGGACACAATTAAAAAGATAATCATTAAAGCAAATGCACAACTGGAGAGGTTATAAATGCTCTTGTAGTCATTTTTGAAGCGTGATTATTTAGTCTGCAGAGAAACTGTTTTCTCTGCATGAGAGAATGTTGCCATTTTAAGCAGCGTTAAGCAAACACGACAAAAGCCACACTGAGGAAGTAGAAAAGCGGGTCAGTGGGTTAGTTTTGTTTGCAGGGACAAGGCTTCTCAGAGAAGAGTTGGCAGCTACAACAAATAACTACACAGAGGTGAAAGCATGAAGATTCAAGAGAGAAGCAGTGGGTGCAAAGGTCAGGGGAAGAGCAGGACCTCCCCCAAACTAAGAAAATCCAAAAATAAAACAGTACCTCCATCAGTCCACTCACTGGGAATAAGGCAATTCAACACCAAACACCATCTTTGGACAGATGGCACGGCAAATATGAAGACAGTAAAACCACACCCTTATTCTGTGTTGCCTTTAGAAGAAAAGTCTAAAAACAGTCCTTTGGGTCTACGTTAGGGGTTAAATAATGAGCTACCCACACTATGTTAAATGCTACACACACAGTAATCTTGTTTCTAACCTGCACAGATTTGCTACACACAAGATAAAACAACCCACTAAAAAAACAGCACTAAATTAACCTCCAACTACCTCTGCTACAGTCTGTTACAGTTCACATGCAAAACTCACAGGTTAGAGCTACTGTACTACAGAACTGATACTGGAAAAAGGAAATGAATGACCGGACTACCCAATAAACAGGAATAACTCTTTATTTTTCCTTTTCTGGTTGGTTTAGCTGGGTTTTGTTAAGTTTCACCTCGTGTGTGTGTGATTTTTCCACAATACTTTACTGGATGTAAATGTACACACAGCTCAGAGATTTGCTGTTTGAGGAGGGGGAGGTGCAGAAAAGCAAGCAGACAGGGAAGTACGTACGCAGGAGACATAGGCAGAATGTAACCATGGGAGGACAACCTGCCACCCCGTTTGAGGCGCTCCGAACGGAAGTTCTCATAGTGCAGGTCCTGGGTTACTTCCTGGAGATCCTGCATGTGGGTTCTGTGGGATTGAGGAAAAGTCAAACAATAAACAGATTTGCAGAGAGCTCAGGCACCGCCATACTCCCTCCAAAGGCAGGCGGAGGCCGTCTGGTTACAGCAGTTTCAAAATGAGACTACTTTATGTACACAGTTTTGTCAACTCACAAACTTCACCACTCACATCAGCATGATCCGCAGTTTGAGGAAATCATTGTGCTCCGGGTTCTCCACCTCCACCACTCCCCAAGGGTACAGACGACCTCTGACCTTTTTCCCTTTGGCCTCAATCTGCTGGTTGGAACCTACCACTGCAAATGGGATGCTAGCCTGGAGAAGAGGAGCAGTAGCTCATATTTCTGCTGTCATGTTTCAACCACACACCATGGATAATTATGATACTTAAAACCAATCCCCAAATCGATAGTTGGAAGTTTAACAAAAGCAGAGCTGTCCCAAACAAGTACCAAAGCTTCTAAAGTGAATAATCAAAGCTTCACAAGATGACCAGGAGAGTAGGATTGGGTTGTCTACCACCTCACCCTAACTAACCAACCAACTAAACCACCAAATCCTGCATTTATAACATATAAACTTACTGTTTTTACAAAAAAATTAATATTTGTTGGATTTTGCTTTTGCGGTCTGCACCGGGTAACACACTGAACCTTGACCCAGTGTTTATTTTGATGCATTTGTTTGTAAGCACACGTGCCATCTCACAAGTTGATTCACAGAAAACACTGAAATAGAAACTGTGTTTTGTTCAAATCTCCCATCGCTATTTGCGTAGGAAGAAGACAGAAAGAAATCTTTTTCCAAGGTTGAAATCTTGCACAGATAATGAAGTCAGTACCTTGAGGATCCTCGTCTGCTCTTTGAAATCTTCATCTTCATCTGACTCAGCATCGGGAAGATGGTAGATTTTGATGCCATGCTCGTCGATCTCGTCGAGAATCTTGATAACACGAGAGTGTAAAACAACAGTTATTAGCAGTTATGTTAAACTGATGATGATCTTCTGCTTGCTTTTGATTCCAGACACGAGATAACGACCCTCAGAATCATTTCTCAGGATCTGCTGATACAGTAGTACCTGCAATATTCTGATGCACCCGATGGATAAAGCAGTGAGTATGATAACATGATACTGTAACTACTCTTCAAGTCAGGAAATGGAAAAAGTCCCCGAACAATGGGTAACTCTGGTGTCCTCACCCTGCGCTTGAGCCTCTCCCTCTCTCTGAGGGTGAGTGTGTCGGCCTTAGCGATGACAGGAACCACATTGACCTTGTTGTGAATGGCCTTCATGAACTGGACGTCAAGTGGTTTCAGGCTGGGAGGGAAAGGAAACAGAGGGTCAACGAGAGACAAAGAATCTGCGTGAACAGAGGACCTTCACTGTAATGACTTAGGCCTATACAGTATTTGTGCAAGTGGGCATAGCAGGACGCACCCATGGCCGAGTGGAGAGATGAAATAGAAGCAGCAGTGAACTCTATTGTCAACAATGTGTCTACGATTTAGGCCGCTCTCATCGTGGAGGTAGCGCTCAAACTGGTCATCAATGTAGCTGATAATGGTGCTGAAACTGGATGGGAAAAAAAAGAAAAAGTTAGAAATTATACTGAACAAAAGCAAACACAAAGCCTGGCTAATAATAGATTCTCCCCTAGCCTTAAGATTTCTACAGTGTTATTTTGAGCCATCTAACGTTAGTGGGTCATCACCACTCGCAGATCACAGGAATAAGATAGCAATTCAAATCCAAAAATACCTCATCTACTCATCAGCCTCCACCCTACAAGGATTTCTCACCAGTCTTGGCTGTTGATGGCGTCTCCGTATCCTGGTGTGTCAACCACAGTGAGGCGGAGCTTCACTCCTCGCTCCTCGATTTCTACAGTGGATGCCTCGATCTGAACTGTCCTTTCTATTTTTTCTATAAGGAGGAAAGATCAAATGCAGGTTTCTCAAACTGCTTCACAAAAAATGAATCATCTGTGTTTTCAGCGTGTAAGTGTGTGTGTGTTTTACCTGCTGCTCCAGGAATGACTCTCTCAGGGTACAGGTCAGTGAGGAAGAGGCTGTTGATCAAGGTGGATTTTCCAAGTCCAGATTCACCTTTAGATAACAGGAAGGTAAAGCTGTCACAAGTAAATGAGGGCTGCATAATGGTTAAATGGTTAATGGCCTGTATTTGTATAGCGCTTTACTAGTCCCTACGGACTCCAAAGCGCTTTACACAACCAGTCATCCACCCATTCACACACACATTCATACACTGGTGATGGCAAGCTACATTGTAGCCACAGCCACCCTGGGATGCACTGACAGAGGCGCGGCTGCCGGACACTGGCGCCACCGGGCCCTTTGACCACCACGGCCCGTAATTATTAGCATTAGCACAATGCTAATAATTACAAATGCACAGTCAGGCTCTGGTTAGTGCAAGGGCTCTTCTAATGCAGAGCTCAGTTTCAACCAAAAGAACAAAGACGTCCTCAGTGCGCCGCAGGAAACGCAGTGTGTAACACACACTGCATCTCACACAAGATGGAAATACGCATCAACCAAACTCTAAATCTGACTTCAGCATTAATCTTTCCCCAGCCGTCAGGTGGCTGAAACCTTGTCAGAAGCTGGGAAGGATACGAGTTTGTTCATGACTTAAGGGTAAGAACTTTAATTTGACCAGAGAGGTTACACAAAAGAGACCTGACATTCAAAAGCCAAATAGAAATCTACAGAATTCCAAATTTAGCAGGTTAAACAGGAAACATAACACCAATTGTCTGGTGAAATTTCCATTTTTCCATTTTCTTTATGACTTTTCAAATTCAGGGTCAGGTGGAAGCTGGAGCCTATCCCAGCTGTTATGGGGAACAGGCAAGGTACACCCTGGACAGGTATCCAGTCTGTCACAGGGGAAAGGACTGATGTGATTCTAAAACTATATTACTCCAGCTCTTTAATAAAATAAACAAAGGGTAAACAAACTGTATTTAATGAGAATGACGTTATTTGAATGCTTCAGTCGATATAATTTATGAACGAACTACACATCAGTATCAATGACTTTACAGGACAAAATTTAAACCATGCATCCAAATACCAATAGTAGGTGTTCCTCAAGTGAAAGACAATAGTAACTCAGTCTGATAATCTGGCCAAGAAAAACCTCCTGCACACCACACAAACATCTGATCTGATCTGCCGCGTCGCTTCAGTCTAACACTCTGCCTGCTGTCTGGAAAAAAAGATTCAAAGCAACCGTAAAGACAAGAAACTACTGTTTAGTTTCTTGGTTACATCCAGCTAAAAGCAGAAGTCGAGCACAGACACAGAGTCTTAAACAGCAGCTACTGCTGCTCCCGCCAGGCTGTGACAAAAGATTTACTGAGGTCTTCTTTAGTGGCAATTTGCCAGGAGGTCTTGTAAGGGAGCAAACTGACATATTTATTATGCACACTGCAAGTTCAAGTGCATGTGGGAAAGGAAGAGACTACAGAGATCAATGCTTTTCATTTTCATTGCAACATTATTATTTCTATACGTGGAGGAGAGCAGCATCTAGCCGCTCACCCAGGTAAACACTGATTTAGTTTAATAACGGGGGGGTTACACAGAGGGTATATTATTGCATTACAAGAACCAGCAGGCCTCGCTGTCCACTGTTTGAATGGGTCCCTGGAGGCACACAGGCCACATTCCTCTCTGGTTTATTTTAAAGAAGAAGGATGAGCAGTGTTGAGGGGAGCTTCGACCCTCCCCCATTCATTCCCAGCAAGCACAGGGGTTCACCCAGTCACAGGAACCAGAGCAAGAGTTTACACTGCTGCCAACATCAGCTGAGCAGCTTTACCGATGACTACGTCTGCGCAGAAAAAAAAAACTTCATGCACAGTAAGACAGTCAAGTGCACACCTACGAATTATAGAACACAAAACAACCGGCGTGCTCGCGACACACAAACGAAAAAATCTACGGAAGTCAAAAAAAGCTCAGACTGCAAAAACTGCATATTGTAGCGAGCATCCAAGATCCCAACATGAATTTAACCCAATAACATGAGCGAAAAAAGACAAAATACATTCCACAAAGTGGCCGTGTTTACTCTAGCTTTAACATTCTTATCCCTGAGATACATTATCATTTTCCAGACGAAATAAAAAACAGCGTCACGTCACAGCAACGTGAAAAATGTGGTGGGAAAAGCATTAGCGCACTCACCTACAACCATAAGGGTGAACTCAAAGCCCTTTTTTACAGATTTTCGATGAACCTGATTAGGCAGGTTGGCGAATCCAACATACCCCGGGGTCTCGGGGTTTGAGAACTGCCCCTGCTGTAGAGGAGAAAAGGGAGGAAAAGTAAAAAGAAAGGAGTGTAAAATGATTATTACTTCCGATTAAACTGAGCAGGATAAATGTGAGGCGACAGCTAATTATATGCAGCGAGCTTAAATCACTGAGCAGGCTTGAGGTGTGACGGGGTTATTTAAGAGGCTATTTCCAAAAGACCTCGCACCACCCCATTCATCCAGCATTTTCTACATGCAGCTCATCAAAAGGAAGCCATTTACCAATCCCTGCAGCTAGCCAGGCTGTATACCAGAAAATTCAAATGTAATACAAAGCAGCACCTTCTTTATTCAGTTTATAAGGTGGACAAAGCCTCCATTCCTTGTCCTTTCAGGAAGAAGGTCAAGATGAGTGAGCTTGATAAGCAGTGTGTTTTTGCACTGCCCTTAGCCCTTTCAGTACAAAGAAAACTGCATGAGTGAGTCATGAGGATAATGAGCAGCACGCAGACAATGTACCCTTTAACAGGACGGTAATATCAATGCCTAAAAAACAAGAAGTTTCAACTCAGTGGGCATATTGTGTTTCCTTTTCACTACCATTAAAGCTACTGCAATGGAGTAGGCAGTCACTGAAGTACAGGCAGGAATCTAGTATTACAGCATGCCTATTGGTTCAGATAGAAAAACTGGTTGGTTTGTTTATTTGATATGATTTACCTTCATTTTGTCAGCTTGAGACATTTTTTCCTCCTTGTTTAGGCTGAAAGAGAAGACAAAAACAGAGAGATATAAACCAACCAACACAAAAAATCTTTTCTCACCCTTCTTCTAAAATGGGGGTTGGACTCATGCAGTCACATACTCAGAGGCTTCAGAGTATGAGAGACAGGAAGTCTGTTTTTTGCTCGGAGTGGCTTGTGAGAGTGTTGTGTCTCACCACAGAAAAAAAAAAACTGCTTTCCTGCTCTAGGTGTCTGCATTACAGCTGCATCCCACTACAGCTCTATGATCTGAGGGAAGAGATGAAGCTTAAGCCTTCAAACCCAACCTTTCTGTAATTACCATCATATCGGTCTCTTTTGCTAGCTGTGTTGTAGGCTGTTGTATCTTATTCGAAACCCCCTGAATGAACTGAAACTGTGAGAAACACACCCACAGTACGAGGGAGAAGACGTTTTCTCTGCATATAACCGGGCATTTCTTTTCCGGTTAATTAACTAAATATGTTTCCGAGGTAGTTTAGTTGAGTTAGCATTACAAGTCAGCTGATTTTCCGATTTTCTAAATATGACTGATATTACTTAATAAACCAGCTTCGGGTATTTTAAAATTTTGCTATAGCGGTAACAAACCTCCGGGTTATCAACGGTCAATTGAACGCTGTTTAACAAGCTAGCAGCCCGAGCTAGCAGCTCAGTACACTGTTAAGCTAAGCTTTAATTACTATTAACTAGCCGGGCAGGAAATCAAATAAGCTAATGTTAGCTTCGTCGTTTTAACAGCGACGGCGCCGACACACTCGGTGATA